CAGCAGGAAGATGGGGTGGGTTTTTTTCCCCCTCCGATGAGCTGTCCTTTCTTAAGGTGTCCAGGGCAGATTTCCTCTAAGGTACATCCCATTACTGAGGCTTAAGTGGCTTCTTAAAAAAGCAGTAGTAGTTGCAATTGAACTCCCCCTTCTTAGCACCAACTGCTAGCAGAGGTTACAAGATGTCACTGTGATCCCCAGGTGTTTTTGTAGCTTGCTTTGCACAGCTAGCTACAGGCACGGAAACACTCTGTTTTGTTTTGGTTTTTGTTTTGATAGTCTTTGTACTATCTGAGAATAGCAGGATTAAATTTTCAGAGATTAATGGTTTTCTGGAGCGTTCTTCCACCGTTACCCCGGCCGCATATGAACTGTCCTCCATATAATGTAAAGAGGAGGAAGAACTCTAGCACGCTCCTCCTCTTCCTCTTCAGAATTCAAGCTTATTTTAATAGTATATTTTCAGAGTTTAAGTTTATTGAACGTTGAGAATTACATACCAATTCCTATGCTTTGTAGGAATGCTGCATGCATTCTGCTCTATGCAGAATGTACGTGTTCTACAGCTGTATATGCTGTTGAAGTATCCAAAACAGCTTTTATTTCGTCAATGTAAAGTACAAAGTATTTTCTCTTATTACCAGGACTTTCCATTTCTTCCTGAAAGACCTCATCAAGTTAATTATACAAATACCTTTGTCTGATGGCATTGGCTTTTGCTTTTACTTCTAGGCCTCATTAACCTCTGTGACATCCGCTGAGATCTGAATTTGTTTTCTATGATATAATATAAATTAGTCTTGTTTATTTATAAATTCCACTTTTAGAATCACTAGTAAGTGTACCCAGCCTTTGGCTATCTCTAGGTTATTAAATTGCGTAGTTCGGTGTAATTTTGTCTTCATACTTCGCAGACAGAGGCGTAATATTAGTTAGCTATGGATTTTAACATTTTGTTCAGATATGAAAAGCTTCATCCATCTTACATTGTGGCTCTTTTTAAGAAATCAAACACAATAGAGTCTGGCTTTGTCATTCCAGGGCTTCACAACTCTATATTCACGTTTGTTGGTATTCACTGTGTCCGAGTCAAAGGGAACGGTATGTGAAAAACTTGGGAATTGTGGAGTTTTCTATATTTTGATTCCTTAGTCTAGTTGCTTCTAGGCAGTAAGATGTGCTTAGTGGTGCAGGAGCAGAGCCACTAGAGATAAGACGGTGGCAGTTGCAATTATAAGGCTAGGACAGAGGAAAAGGAGGAAGTGACGTGGCAGAGACAGTGGTGGCTCCAGGAATGCTGAGAAGCGTATGGATGGCTAAAAAGTGAGCACAGTGAGATGTGAGATATTGCTGGTTTCCTCCAGAAAGGATTGATTGCAAAATGTTTGGGAGTATGTCTTCAAAGACATTTAAACTTCATCTTTGTTTTGATAAAATGTAGGCCTGGATATCATCTGACCGCTTAAAACGTTGGGGGGTTTTAAGTGTGACTGTACCAAATCAGTGTCTCTCCGTTGCTTTTCTTTTTTACGTGACCAGATCAACATGAAAGACAACAGACATGCTAAATACGTTGAAAATCACATTTCTTCAAATGACATGAGGGCTTTCGTTTTTGAGAGCCAAGAAGATATGGAAATGTTCCTTCTTGAGGTAAGTAGTTACAGATTTTAAAAACTGATTAAAACTAGTATAGGAGCCCTATAGTTTGGGGTCTGTGTTTACTAAATAAGTTTGTTTTTAATAGGTTTTCTAGATAAGATCAGCAGAGCAGCTAATACAAAGTAGCCAAAGGCTTACTTCTGGTTTAATTAATAAGCAAGATTACTTTGAACTTTTCACAGTTCAGAGCAACTAGAAGAATGCAGGAATATTAGGAATAATTTTCTTTTTAGAAATATTGATGTCTGGCTTGACAAGGCAACAATTGCTGAGGAGAAAATACTTTGCCCAAAAAAATGACAAGACCAGGAAACAGCTAATTAAGTACTAAGCATTTCCAGTACCTTCTGACTAAAGAGAGGAGAGGACATCTTTTGTGAGAAGATAGTGATCCAAGCAGGAAATCAGGACTGTTTTTTCCTAATGCTGCTCTTTCCTGGAGAGAAGAGGAAATACAGATAATTCCCTTTGAGAGACAGAGAGATGACACAGAGGGGAAAAAAGCTACAAGGTATAGCATTAGCTATTGTTCCACTTCCCAACTGCTGTCTACAGGAATAGTGTAATTAATGAAAAACTATCCTGCCTTTTTCAAGGACCTATCTGCCCTTCACAGAAGCTAGTCATTATTATGTAAGTGAACCATAGTGTTGGAATCTGAGGTTTTGGAGGCTCATCTTGCCTCCAGTATTGTGGAACCCAGGGCAAGGCTGCTTTAAAAGGCCAAACTGATTTGTCATGTATATCTTCCATCTTTTCTGCCCTGTTAGCATCAGGTTTTACAGAGCCTCTGTAGCCGCTGATCTGCTGTTTTTTGTGCAGAGTGGCCATAGAGCCTGAAAGAGAGTGGGCTTCGTCATTACATCCGTGCAGATTAGCATCCAGCTTAGCTACTGAGATTTAGCACCAGGCTGTGGATTTCTTTGATTTGTTTTTATTTTTACTAACATATGGTATTTTCATGTATCGATATTAACTGAGCTTGGCCTTGAGGAAACTCAGTTGTGCCTGAAGCAGCTTGGGTTTTTGTGACTTCTTCTATGTATTAAGCCAGTCTAAAATAAGTTCTGATTCTATGAAATGTCCCTTCAGTAAGTATTTTGTTTTCATGTAGTGATTTCTTTTCTACTCTTTTTTTTTTACCATTTATCTAATGTAATCTATATTTAGATGCGTGATCATCGGAAACTAAAAGTGAATGCTGTGTGTGCGCCTGCTGAATCATGTGCTGAAAGCATACCTTCAAGACCTATTGAAGAATTACAGTATGTATCAGTTACTCTGTGGGAAGTGCTTTAAATGTCACTACATGTGTTTGTGTTTTGTTACCACTGCTGTGTGTTAACATTTTCTTTGCAAATCAAATTATTACTAATTCAGTTCAGAATTAGTGGGACTTCTCTTGACCCTGCAGTAACTTCAGCTTCCTTGTCTACCAAGTTTTATTTGCGATACTCACTTTTTTTCTCCTCTTTAGCCGATACGGATTTTTCTCATATTTACGAGAGTTATTTGATGCTCCTCGTCCTGTGATGAGTTATCTTTGCTCCCAGTATCGTGTTCATGATGTCCCTGTGGGAACAGAGAAGACCAAAAACATGATTGAAAGGGTGAGATATCCTAAATAGCACAAACACACCTATGGTCTCGAGTTTTATTTAGGAAATTCTTTGACAAGTTAACATGGAGAGAGCGAAAAATTGTAGCCTTTTATTTGTGTTTTTGAAATGAGAACAGTTCGTATACACAAACGTTTTACAAGACACCTTGACAAATCCAGCCAATCTAATGTAGTCCTTCGCAGGAAGATAAATATTTCTTGGATCGGCATGTGTTCCAAGTCAATCGTATGAAGCCGCTTTATTATAATAAAAGCACTGGACATATTTTACAACTCAGACATTTTAAAGTGCCTGAGGTATTGTGGACAAAGTTTTAATAAAAGAGTTAATAGTACATGACAGTGCCAACTGGAAAAATTGGGAAAAAATATTTTCTAGACAAGGGGAAGAAACTCCAGATTTTTTTTTCCTGACCTTTTCTTCTGTTTAGTGTTTACAGCAGCAATTACAGAGGGTTTTTTTTTCTGCATAAGATGTTCCATTTCTGACCAATTCTACTTTATAACTGCGGTCATGAGTAGTGTGATAAATACCGTATGAAAACTTTTGAATTCTTAGAAATAGGCTAAGAGCTTCCACTAGGTACCTTCCTTTCTTCTGGACTCTCAAGAGCTAGTCATCACTGGGTTATAGTAGGTGACAGGCATGACAGATTTCCACTTAAATCCTTAATTCACTTCTCTGTCTGTGCTGGACTGCTGCTGTCTGTCTTGTACAGAGAGTGAACTCTCCCAAGTGGAAAAGGGCTTCTTTGGGCTCTCCGAGAAGAATATGAGTTGTGGTTTTGAGAAACTTAGGGGACTGAGTCTTTATATAGAGAGCAATTCCTGTTTTAATGGGATAACTGTTGCTCTTCCTTGCCTTCTCTTGTTTCTCATTTTCTAAGAATGAGGAAGAGGAAAGTAAAACTGGAAGGAGTCTTAGATGAAAATGCTTAACTTTTGGGGAGGAAAAGCCAATCTAAGGATTTTCTTCTTAGAACTGTGATTCTTCCAGTACTTTCTGTTTATCACATGATAAAGCAGATACCTGTATTGCAGGTCTTTCTTTGAGTTATACTTTGTGGACCATTCAAAATTACTCCTTAGATACTCCATTCTTTTCAGAGCTCAGTGGGCAGCAAGTAGAAAATCACTAATCTAGAGGAAAGATAAGCCACTATTCTGAATGTTTTGGGCATGGCACTTTCTCAGTTGTGAGAATTTTTTTCTTTCAGCTTTTATTACTTTTTGTTGAACGATGCATTGTTTGCAACGTTTTGTTTCATACCTGTCAAGGAAAGCTTTAGCTTAAAGGAGAGCTGTTTTCATAAAGCTGAACGTGTGGAAAGAGGCCTGGGATGGAAATGTTGCCAACCTCAGTGTGAGCTGTGAAGCAAAGTAAAACCCATTAAACATAGCTTTCAGTGTTCAAGAACCAAATCAGCAGAATATTGCCGGTGCTGGGTAGATAATCTAGAAAAAGTCATTAGTCAAATTTGCTTTGTCTTACGATGTCTTTTTACTCTGCTTGATTTACTGAAGAGTTTATATCCTTTTGAAGTACTGTAGTACCTTGGATTACAATAAGCCTTTTGTTATTTATAGTATTTAAAACAGTTTAAAAATAGTAAGTAAAATATTTTATACTTCATACTTTTTTCCTGCAGATACAGTTGCTTAAACAAAGCTTATGCTTTACAGCTTACCTTATAGTTTAATGTATTCATTTTTTAAGTACTTTTAGTTCTTTGGTACACAGGCTACCTGCGCATGTTATGCAGGTACCCCCAATATAATTCTTGTTCGTGATGCAATACACATATTAATAGATCTTACCAAGGTCTATATCTGTAATATTCTTACAGAAAACAGTAAAACCCTATGATAAGGTTAGAAGTAACTATGATAGGGTTAGAAGTAACTTATCAATTAGAGTAATCAGAAGCTGTTTAATTATTTGTGGTACTCTATATGACAGTTTCTTAACATTTTTTTGCTAACTGACCTAAATTACAAGCATAGTGATGTATTAAACTCTCAATCAGCTTTTTGCAACGGCATCTTAAAAAATCAAGAGACTTCTGTAAGCTTAAATTCTTTACTATGAATTGCAATTAGTTTATTTCTTATTCTGAAAAGCACTGCCTTAAGTAAGGCTTTTGTCAGATGAATGTTTTGTTGGTTTTTTAGGTCATACAAGAGACCAAATTTAAGCAAATCTACACAGCAGAAGAAAAATATATCGTTAAAGTATCTGCTTATACAAACCAAACTCTCTCTAGCAACACGTCCCTGAGGGCAGCACAGTTTCTCACTAGTTCAGTGGATACAGATGAAAGAAGACAGTTGGAAAGCCAGCAACAGGTAAAACTGTATTTGGGTGTTGGGTATGATGTGAGCTACTACCAATTTTATTGCCGGATAAACACAGCCTGTTTGCATGTGTTGGTATGGTACCATTATAATAAGAATGCTAATGGTGTATTTCCTAACACTTTCATTTCAGGAAGTTAGTAATACACTAAAGTCATTGGATATTCAGTTGAATACATTATTTGAAAGGCAGAAACATCTGGAACGCAGAGACAATGAACTCAGGCAACAGAAGAAGGAGCTTTTAGAGAGAGGAAACAAAAGAAGACAGTTGGAATCAAAAATTGCTGTGAAGCATGATAGGTAGGAATTTGGACAAATGTTATTATATATGAGATGAGAACAATTTTAATAACAAATGTATATTGGCTTCCTCCTATTGTGGCGTGCTTTTACTCTTACAGAGTAACCAGTAGTTCAGCTTCAGATATATGTGATGATCAAGATGAAGAAGATGTTTAGAAATTGAGAAACCGTGTAACAACATCCGAGACAGATTGCTGTGATAATCATAGGACTCCAGTGAGACATCACTGCATTCATTTACTTAGACATTACTATAGTCTTTTGTCTTCGTAGCACATATCTAAATGACACCATAAAACACACAAACAATGCTAAGAAAGAATGCCAGAGATCAAGTTGGACTCTGACCATCCACAGTATTTAGGTGTTACCTCCTTTTCTGGCTTGCAGTCCTCTGCAATTAATTCTTCTGTTACTACTTTGTCATGAGGCAAAGCCTTGGCATGATACTTCACTGCCTTCTGAGAGTGTGATCTGAAGTATGGATAGACCCCCCCCCAGGCATCACTCCTTCCACTCTGTACAACTCTCCAATGCTGTATCAGCAGAGTGTTCCCTCAAATATTCCTACATGTTCTCGTGCCATACTTATTTTTGTTCTGGAAAAACATGATGATGGTCCTTGCGTGCACAGCTCTTGCATTTCTTCTGGGATCCAGGAAAAAAAAAAAAAAGAAACAAGCAAACAACCTACACCCCCACCACCACACCCCCCAAAAAAAAAAACCTAGGGCTGTAGGAATGTTACTGTGGGGTCAGAGTCAAGCACTGTGGTTGCAAGTGGCCAAACAAATGAGCGAGCTTAGCCTCAAAGGTTATTGCTTACTTTATGGTCTCTTAAGAATACAGATATGTTTGTTCTCTGTGTTGTTGTAGTGTTTTACAAGAATACTGTTTAAAGGCAGGAGAGAGATGGACCCTCTACCTAAACTACCTCAATATTGATTAAATCTTCCTTCAGAACACATGACTTCATTCTTTAATTTTGAAGTGAGGGGAAGAACGCTGACAATTGCAGAAAAGGCTCTTACCAGCTGTGTTATATAGTACAGATGTTTTTCGGTAGAGATAGAAATGAGATAAATAGTCTTTGCAGTGATTATAACCATTCTTAAACATAATTCGTTTCCAATTCTTTTATCAGAATTTCTAAATAAAGTTGTATGTAATTTTGAAGTTAATATTCAATGATAGACTCACTCAGGTTGGAAGGGACTTGAGGAGGTCTCTAGTCCAACCACCTGCTCAAAACAAGGTCAACACTGAATTCAGACCAGGTTGCTCAGGACTTTGTTGTGTCTCATTTTGAAAACTTCCATGGAGACTGCACATCCCCTTTGGACGAGCTGTTCTACTGCTTGACTGTCCTCGTTTGGGAGAAAGTGTCTCTAGATATCCAGTTTGGATCTCTCTTGTTTCCACTTATGCTCGTTGTCTCTCATCCTTCTGCCGTGCGCCGCTTCAAACAGCCTGGCTCTATTCTCTCAATGACTTCCTCATGGATACTAGAGGGGTTGCTGTTAGGTTGGCCCCTTTAAGCTACCTCTTCTCCACACTGAACAAGCTAATCTCCCTCTCTCCTCATAGGACTTGTGCTCCAGCCCCTCACTGTCTTGGTGGTCCATCACTGAACTTACTCCAGTTTTTCAACATCTACTAGTATATTTGGCGAGGGTCAAAACTGGACTCAGTATCTAGATGCAGTTTGAAGAGTGCAAAGCAGAGGGGAATAATCACTTTCCTCAACCACCTGGCTGTACTTCTGTTCAAACAGCCCAAGTTGCTGTTGGCCCTTGTCGCTGCGAGGGCACACCGCTGGCTCCTGTTTAGCTTGCTGCCTATCAAGATCCCAGGTCCTTCCTGACAAAGTTGCTGCCCAGCCAGCCTGTCCCCAGCCTGTGTTGTGGCCCGGGGCTCTTCCTCCTCAGAGGAATGGCTCTGCATTTGCTTTGCATTTGTCCTTGCTGAACTTCATCAAATTCCTCTTGACTTGTTCCTCTCAACTGACAAAGCCTCTCTGAATGGCAGCCCTGTTGGACTCCCCAGTTTGTTGTCATGTGCAGACTGGATGAGAGCGTTCTTCATCCCTTCCTCCAGGTCACTCACTGATAAAGATGTTGAACAGGTCTCAGGATAGACCCCTGTGGCATCCCACTTGATACTGGCCTCCAGGAACAGTGCAACACATTAACCATGACCCTCTGAATCCAACACTCAAACCCTTTTTATACCCATTTAGTTGTCAACCCATCCAGATTTTAGCATTTAAACTTGGATAAAAGAATATTGTAGGAGACTGCATCAAAACCTTGCTAAAATTGAGGTAAGTAACGTAAACAGTTTCCTTCCCCCATCCACAGATCGAGGAGTTTTGTCATAAAAGCGATCAGGTTAGTCAGGCATGATTTACCCCTGTAAATCCTTGCTGGTTGTTCTGAACACCTTCTCCCTCATGTGCCGAAAAATGTTTTCCAGGAGTACTTGCTCCGTAATTTTACCAGAGATTGAAGTGAGGCTGACTGGTCTGTAGTTTCTGGGATTATCCTTTTGACCTTTTTTGAAGGTCTCCAAATGCTTTGGACCTCCCTGAACAGCACAATTATTTAACTTGAAGTTCATCAATCCATTATTACACGCTTTTGAGATTTAGGATGAGGGAAAAGTCAAAGTTTTCTGCAGTGCACAGTAGCTGAAAACACAGTTATTTCTTACTGATACACATATACAAATACATATATAGCAAGAACTAAGCGAACTTCCTTAACTCTGCCATGTTGTGTTGTTACAAGAAATTAAAAAAGAAGAAAAATGTCGTTGTTGCACTGATTTATTTTTAAAAAAAATCTGCAATTAACAAAAGTAAGGTGTTGTGCTTTCTTTAATTATGCTTTTTTTGTTTTCTGAATTGTTTACCTTTAAAATGTATGGATTGGGAATTCCTCTAATATGGCTGAAATGTTTAAAAATGCAAATTCTTCTTGCTGCGCAAATGAGGTTAAGAATTTTGGTGTTTCTGTACTATTTTTTTTTTTTTAAAGTCAGGATTAACAATATACATTGGTTCTTCCCGTAGTTTAAGACAGATGGAACAAGATGCTATCAACCTAGAAGAGGAATCTCAACAAGCAAATACGAAGATCAAAGAAATAAATGTCCAAAAAGCAAGACTTGTTACAGAATTAATGCATCTCATAAAGGTATGGGTTTTTTGTTTGTTTTGATAAGTGTTCCCTTGTTGTGATAAGTCCAATTCTTGTAACATAACTAGGAGATGTGCAAAGTTTGGCTATGTTAATGTAAATATTAATGAGCTAACTTGCTTGAAGATACACTTCTTTAAAAGTCTTTTTGAACTTGTTCATCTGTTGTTAACTCAATTTGTATGGTATTTGTTTCCTTTGATTTTAGGCTTTCACTCACTGAAGTCTTCTGCTCCATGGGGTGATCCAGTAAAATTAAGTGTGAATTGTGTAACTATTTCAATCTGTACATTTTCAGAATACTTCATATTTCTGTATGCCCTTCCTTCCTCTTGGTTCATCATCTCCGTTTCTTTGCTTCTATTAGAAAAATAATAGTCATTAGTCCTCATTCTAAGAATACGGAAGATCTTCCCTACAGAAGACTGCTGCTATTTGATAACTAAGAAATAATTCCTACAACTTGACTGTTTTGTTCATTGATGTTTTTCAACATGATTTGCATTTAGTTTTTCTGTATTTCTTTTGTATAATT